CCCCAAAACCCCAAAACCCCAAAACCCCAAAACCCCGTGGCAAGGTAGGATAATAGAAACTTAATAATAGCAAAACTTGTTGATTATGTCTGAATAATCTGAGAATAGTCTTATAATGGAATCTTTCGAGTAATCGTAGTTGGTCACTGCCTTCATTCCATTCAGCAGTAGTGACATCAGGTCGAATGCCCTGGCTGCTTCTTCTTGAGTGAAATAGGTATGAATGTACGTCTTTTTGTTCCTGATGTTGATGAGAGACTGCCACTTCAAACTGTTCTTGAACACTCCGGTGAAGCGAGACCTTCTAGAGCTTACTCGTGGGATCCTACGTCTTGTTTTAGATCTTGCAAACACAAGGATTTTGGAGGAGCTGTTAATGGCCATGAGCTGGTGCATCAAATGCTGAAGCTTTGTATAAAGATACGTAGTTCGATCTCTCTGGGGCAACACGGATGTTGACTCAAGAACTCTTCTAGTGTTTGGTAAGAGCGATCATTGCTGGATTTGTCTTAAACTTTGAGTATCAAAATCCAATGGTGCATTATTTTGAAAGTCTTCGAGTTTACATTGACAGTAAAAAGAAAGGCAAAATTCTCAGAGACAATAATGTTTAGAGAACTCTATTAATTGGAGCTCTCCAATTTTGTCAAAAAGAAGCTTGTGCTCATCACTAACTGAGTTCTCTTTGTCTTTCTGGCTCTGAAATTGTTGAGGAATAAAGTTTGCTTCCATAATTTGTTTTAATTATATTGTTTCTTCTAAAATTAGTCTCTTAAATAGTTTCTGGGAAGCTGGTGGTTGTCTCCAGAGGTGAAAGAATAGTTTAACATTTTGATATCAGTTTATTTATAAGAAAAGATCGATGATTATATTTTCAGTCTTATTCACCTTCAAATGCCTTAAAATTGTTCTTATTATAAGGCTCAAGTGACTATATAAATATGTGTACGGTGAATACTATTTTAAGGAATCATATATCTTGAATTGGATTAGAGCTCCAAACGAAAAGGTTCTACTCAAATTAAGAGGCTTCTTTGTTTTAGTTCTTTATGTACAAATTTTTAATAAAAATGGTCACATAAAGTCTGAATTAGTACCACCTCCTGAGTTGTACTAGAAATTTCTCTTGAATCAGGTCTTATAGGAATTTTTTTAAGTCTTTTCTATAGGGCCTTGGATGCTTCCATATTGATATATTATCTCTAATGAGAACTGAGAGTTTAGCCCAGCCATCTTTGCCAGTCGACTCTAAGTTATTCAGCAATGATTCTGGCTTCTAATTAGCTGATTTGTTCCTTAAATAGGAAGGTTATCACATTCCAAAGAATCTGAAATGCCTTTAAATAATTGATGCTTATATCTCTGCATTTTATTTAACAAGCATGCAGAGATTTCTTCTTGAATGTAGGTAGGCCTTTAAGTCAAGAAAATATTTGAATTTTAAGGATCTTCTATTGTTTTTTATAATATCATAGCCTAAGGCTTCATGTGGTGGACTCAAATTTTTCCAGTTTAAGCTTTACAAAGCTAAGGGAGACAATAGTATCACTCCTGTGAACTATTTAAATGAAATTAGGTCCTTCGCAGTCCACATAAAGAGGAAATGCTCGGCCAAATTCGGATAGCGCAAATATTTTTAGAAAATTTACTGTAATAATAAAATGGCTGATTAGAACTCTTAATTTTTCTTGAAATTATCTGGACTCAAAGCTAATATAGTGAAAATTATTTTGTGAGACTCTCACATGATTATTCAGCTCTGGTAAAAGTAAGAAGCAGTCTGGGCATGCTCTACATATAAGTGAAACCGCCTTAAAGTATGATTATAGTTTGAGCACGTTCCGTTTATTAACTAACTGCTTCCATTTATTTATTACAGTAAACCTTTTAGTTACCTAAGATGCTATTTTTATGCAAGGCAAAGGTCGATAAAGAATCTTGAAAATTTCAAATAATTAGAAGGGACTTGCACCATATAAATTCTTTCAAAAATAAGAGAATAAACAACTGGAATTTATTTAAATAGCCTTCTATCTCAACACCAAACTTGTCATTGTCACGATTGGGGAAGAATTCTAGAGCTTCACTTGAGTCCCTACAACACGGAGTGACCACCTCAAGGTTTATTATACCCTTTTGTTTAATAATGAAGAATTTGTAAGAACTTTTTGCTCTTTTAATCACCAAAAAGTAATGGATAATAAACCGTCGATATCATATTGCTAAAGTCTCTATTTTCATCAAAAAGTCATTGAAAATTTTCAGGAGTTATATTCAAAACTTCTCTTTCTGCATAAATGTGCTGACTGCCAGAATTCTATAGCCTACCAAAATAGTATGAGTCATTGGAAAGGAGAGCGCAAACTTGCTAAATTGAACCTTCAACCAAAGTTGCTAGTGGATGGATATTTATAACCTTAATCCAAGTCAACCAACTTGAGTTAAAGTGATATGCCTACGGACACGGAAGAAAGACCCACCATTACAAAGAGAGCTTGGAAGCTAGTTAAACTCTATGTTTAGTTTTTGGATATTAATTCGGCCTTCTTCCATGACATCTTAAGCATCTTTTGATTAATATGGAGTTCCCCTTCCAGGTTATTATGATCTTCTTCGATGATGAAAGAAATTTTAGAGTGAAGAAGAGTTAAGCTCAATGCTATCAGCTTCTCCTTGTAGCCTCTTTTACTCAAAAGTAGTCTAGTTAAAACAAGTTTATGGATAAAGTTGTGAGTGTCAAACCCGTGAAGAAACACTTTGAAATAATAATAACCTTATCTTAACTCACAATTGCTGTATAAAGAATGATATACTAGTGCCTACTTAGTTAGCTGGCAATCCCAAGCATCTGTTTGTCTAAGTTAGACTATTAAGAATTCATCCATTGCTTTGCTCGATTTAAATGTATTTAATATTACAGAACCAGAGCATTAGAGTCAACAGACTACTCAAGATAGCTCGTTTTTGAGACAGAAGGTCGTCTCCTATCTATTAGTATTGACCTGGAACCTGTCCAACTAATAGGATGTGTAAAAGAAGGCTCTCGGTGATACAAATAGCAAGAAGTAGCCATTTTGTACAATCGAGAGAATCTTCAAAATTTAACTATTCCCAGGGGTTTTGGGGTTTTGGGGTTTTGGGG